GGCAGCGATAGTTATCTACTTGCTGACTGTCAGCAAAGCACAAGGATGCCCTAAGGAACCGGGCATGCACAGCCTGGGGCATTCAAGGGTGTCTCCTCCAAAGGAGGTGAAGAGAAAGGAGTGGAAATAGCCTAAAAGTTGGCCAGATGATGTTACCTACACCCCTCGAAACCTAGCAAGACACTTTTCCCAATGACTCCAGGTCCTATTCCAAACTAAACCTAAACCTTGAAAACATTTCCACACACAACCCCCACCACTGCTTTCATTCACGTTCTAGTTTCACCCTCCCCCTGCCTCCCCTAAATAATTTTTTGGATGGGGCTAAGCCTTGCAGAGGGCTTTCTTTCGGCCAAGCAGGTGATCTGGAAGACATGTATCAACTACAAAGCTGACCTGCCAGGGGCTTCCCTCTCCACCCCCCAGGACCATGGTCCCCACTGAACCAGCTCAGAGAGGAAGTCTGGAGCAGGAGCGAGAGCCCGCAGCACATCTGCTACCATAGCTTTCAAACTCAGTCCCACCACAGATCGGTGCCCCCTGTTATTTCAGACCACTGCAAAGCCACTGTTGCAAGCAGCATCCAGCTCATGAACATGAAACTGGTTGTTTGAACCCCTCCAGAAGGTTTCCCTTCTACACCTTCAGCCCCACGTCTTTCCTGGGCTGCCCTCTCTCTCTCTCTTCACTCATTGACTGCCACGTCTTCCCCACCTGGGGCCCTCCATCACCGAAGGCTGTTGGGGTGCGTGGGACATGGCCTCTGCCATACCCAGTTCCCCTTGAGGACAGGAGACCCATGCAGCGCAGCACAGGGGCACTCCATGATGGTTTAGTTATTTGTTCAAGCAAGCTCTGGCTCCAGTTTTGTGAGCTCCACTGAATGGTGCTCCTGACCTCCCCGCGGCAGTAGTGCCTTTGCCATGGCATGGATTGCCGCAATGGGTAAGTCCCCCTTTTTTGCACCCCATCTCCAGTTGCAATCTGCTGGCTGAAGGTGATCTGGCTCCTGGAGAGGGCTTAGGAACTACTCAGTTGTGGCTTTGATTTGTCCTGAGGGACACAGTGGGACCTTCTGGTGCTCTAGAACCTGTCTCCTGTCCACCAGTGATGCTAGACCAAAGCAGATAGATAGGAGGAACAGCCATGCTTTGTCCCAGGAGACAGAGCTGGCGGTGGTGGGTTGGGGTGAGGGGAAAAAAGAAAAGGGGATCAGCCTAAGAAGAAACCAATCAGGCTGAGGAGCTGTGCACACCCTGCTCTCCTAAATGCAAACCATGCCCTTGGTAATCCCATCCACCTCTCCCCTCCACTCCTTCCCTCTATCAGGCCACCAGCGCACACAGCCCCCTTTCTGCTCTGGAATGTGTTCTCCGAAACTTAATCTCGGCCCAGGGCTCAGGCCAAATCCCCTGACAGATTCAGCCCCGTGACAACCCCCTCCCACACCGCTTCAGAGCTCAGCAACTCTCCCCTTGCTTTCCCTCGCCTCCTCCTCCCACCCAGTCTGGCCTAAACATTTCACTCCTGATTAATGTATCAGTGACAAGCCAATAGCTCTTGGCTTTAAAGCAAAGCCAGCCCCCACTTTGCACAAACATCTTCACTTCTTCATTTTCTTAAGACTTAGCCCCAAAGTCCCCCTTGCTGGGAAGATGAAGCCCTTTCCACACCTGGGGGCCATCACTGCCAGGGGATGGCGGTCTCCTCTGCACGCACTTGCTCCACCAAAAACTACATGGGTCTCGGAGAAGATCAGACTCTCCATTGCCTAAACAAGGTAGGTCCACAGAGACCCCCCCATCTCCAAGCAGGCGTGGGCTGCCCTTTCTCAGATGCATCCAAATCCAGCACTTTCTCATATTTGAGTGTAACATCTGACCAAAACCAGGCACCTGTAAGAGAAGTTCCCTGCTGTAAGACATCCCCTCCCATGCACACGTCTCCTTGGTCTGTCGCCAGTGCCAGAGGGCAGCGGTGAGGAGCACTCTGAGCTCAGAGATAGGAGCAAAGTCCCTCACTCAGAGCTGTGGCTCAGAGACAAGGGGGGTCCTCATCGCCATGCCACTGCAACCTTGTAGGAAGAGGACAAAGCTCTGGTGAAGGGGAGTGCGCCCTCCCTGAACCAACAGCAGTGGTAATGAATACAGCCTCCTGCCCCTTAAAAGACATAAATCTCGTTACAAGTGCTTTTAGATACTCCGCTCTCCGGTATCCACCTCCTGCCAACTTCCACACCTACCTTATCAAATGAGGACAGTGCAGCCTCTGCCTTCAACATCACCATGCAACTGTTCCCCAACGAGCCACTCTCCCACCTTGCATTTTGGCAAGGCATCTTCCCAACAGCACACAGAGAGCCACCAGCCACTTAATGCAGGTGCTCGGGAGTGCCTCCTCACCATGACCAAACTTCCCTTACTGTGAGCGTGAGGGATGGTACTGTGGCTATGATGAATCCAGGGGCAACACAAAAATGTGCAGGTCCCATCACAGCACAAGCAGGGCAAGGGACTTGGCTTTCTGTGGGTCGGGAAGGCAGGAAAACCTAGCACACTCTGACCGAGCGCTGGCAGTAGCCCTGCAGCAGCCCAGGCAGTGGCTTGGCCATCAGCACCAGCAGGTACTTTCTGGTAACCTCAATCAAGAACTCAGCAACCATATGAGGCAACACGACAGCCAGGGAACCAACCAGGCACACAAACCCCATCACTCAGGTATTTCCTGCTCTTTGTGGCAAAAACTGTCACTGCAGGACACGTCTGCAGCCTACCATGCAGGGCGACTGCTTGGGTCATGGTTGGGCTACAACAGGACAGTCAGTCCATGATCAAAAATGCTACAAAGTGGCCTAAGCCAAATGAGCCCTCCCTTGATGTCTGCGTGAACAAGTGAGCGTGGATAAGCCTCTCAAGGATGTGTGTGTGATGGCCCGAGCAACGCAGGGGATGGCAGAGGACTAAAGTTACTCACTAGCTAACGTGACCACTGCGGGGACACTGGCAATGACTCCTTCAGGCACACGAGCAATGCACTGGTATCGCCCCACGGTGTGGTTGTTGAGAGCCGTGATGACGAGTTTCCCTCGCTCAATGTGGATACCCAGCACCTCGTCCGATCCAGCCAGCTCCTTCCCATTCAGTCTCCAGGTGAGGTTCACTCTGGGGGGGTCCACTACACACCCCAGGCTAACTGGGCCCCCAAGCTTTTGGACAATAGAGGAAGGTTGCACAGTGACCTGCAGAGATTCACCTGCATAGAGGGAAAGAAATGGGAATAAGAAAGTTCTGTGAGACTCAGCAAAAGAAAGGACAGAGGAAAAAAACCTGTAATGCTGGTACATTTTGCGTTCCGCATTGCTTTAGCTTGTGCTGCACCTTCCCGTTAGCTACACACCCACCCTAGTACTTGGAGATGCACACTAGCCCCATTTCTTCTTGGCACCACTAGACAGAGATGTCCAACTCCAATTGTATCCCCTTCTCCTCCCAAGGAGTGTTTCAACCCAGACCTTTGGTCAAGGCTATCAAGGAAGCAGCAGAGAGAGAAAACCACTATGTGCTTGAGACAGGGCTATGCTAACTAACCTCAAGGCAAAACATAAAGGAAATAGAACAAACGGGTAAGAACAGAAACTCACTCAGTTTGGCAAAGCAGCTAGCGGCTGCGAGGATGAGGCAAGGGATGGGGGGCATGGGTCTCTTCTTTCCACGTGTCATTGCCATCCCATGCGGTGTGTCCTGGGGCAGAGGCGCCCAGGGAAGGGTCCCATAAGCTGCCTCAGGGGATGCAGTGGAGGTGTGGCAGCAGATTCCTGCGGATGACAAGAGACACAATGGATGAAACCTTCAGACTTCCCGCTGCTTTCCAGCCCTCCCTGGCTTCCCTAACAACATCCTTAAACTCCCTGGGACTCACACAGCTGGTGGCCTGAGGAGGCTACAGACACTGATGCAAGCACTTCTGTCCTCCAGCCTCTCCCCGAGCACAGTCATGAGTCTCCCAAGACACCCCATCATCAGCCCTTGGTAAAAATCTACACATATGCACACTGACACATGCTCAGTCCCCTTCTCTGTTTCAGATTTGGTGCAGTGAATGCCCATACTGTGCCAGCAATGCACACTGGGCAATTTTCAGGAGCAAAACCCAAACATTCCCAACAAAGTGTCATTGGAGATATTTGACAAGTGTTGCTGCCACTTCTTGGCCCTGCCTGGAATATATTCTAGCTTGCACACAAAAATCAATGAGTAGGTACAAGTCCCAAGCTATATGAAAACAGAGGTGATTCCACAGTTTCAGAGTCTCTTCCTGAGACAGTGGCTGTGTTGCCACTGGGCAGACCTATATGTCAATCCAGATGGGACTCCTTAGGAGATGTAAAAGTTTCTCAGAGCATTTCTGCAAGGAAGTAGAGGATACGCTTTTTCAGGAGAAAAGAAATGGCCAGTTCTAAATTTGTTTAAATTGAGTGCAGTGAGCTGAGGGCAGATTCCGCTAATTTGGCATAATACACCTTTGTTCTAAACTAAGAAACACAATCTATGGAAAGATTTCAGATTAACTGTTCTGCCAGAAACACACTGCCTATTTTGAATTGAACTACTTCGTCTGGACAAACCTCCAGGTTCATATTCGAAAGCATCAACAACCTCCAAAAAACTTGAAGCCCACGGCCACCCGTCAGAACCCAGGATGCTGTGAAGGGCTGCACACCGCAGCAGCTGTTTTAGAGAGACTGTCATGAACGAACGCTAAAGCAGACAAATCAGGGGGATTAAAGATCTAAGTGGCTGCACCAAGAGACACCTCAGATGTTAGACTGAATTGAGCTTCAGCCAAGGGCAAAGGGCTGAAGTCAAGAAGATACTTCCCTGTACGGACATTGTAACGCAGCTACAGGGTTTTGAGCTCCCTCCAGCTGCAGCATGAAGATGATGACCCATGAGTCTCAAAGGCATTTCAGAATTGCTCCTGTAGCATGTCCACATTGGAAGGGGAGAACCTCAAGACCAAACCAACCATAGCAGTCAGCCCAAACAGCAGTTATATTGCCTGCAACCCCTGCAGATTCACAATTAACCGCAACCACCATCCTCAAGAGCACCTGGACTCTGCAGAGCAGTATTTCCTACTTCCACCACGGTCACTGCTCAAGCCATCACCTGTTTGAGCATGTCCTTTCCAAACTCAACTCAGCCAAAAAGAGGGGACAAGTCCCTTCAAGCATAACCTCCAAAATTAAATCTCCTAACTGCTGAACTAAGGACTGCCACAGACTCCCCATGAGATGCTTGGTAAGTCGTTCTAGGCGAGGCTGATGACTGCTAGCAAGAAACCACAGCATTTGGGGAAATCTCACCAAGCTCCTCTCAGATGGCTTTGCTTGGCCTCTGGTGACAGCAAAGGTGCAAAAGCGCCTGTTACACAGCCATGGTTAGTTTGGCCATGAGCCCAAGATAACAAACCCTGCTGATAGGTAGGGTAAATTAGGTCAAGCTTGGCACAGCCTTACGTGGCTTCTGGGTGGCTGGGAGCACGGACAGAGCTTGGCCATCGGACGTCAGGCTAGGCATACCCTGAAGGCACCTAGAAAGATCAGCTAGACTCATATTCTAGCTACTGCAGCCCACGGCCCCATTAGACGTGGGAATCCTCTGTGGATAAGCTCCAGTGCCAAAGTGACAACACAGCAACTTCCCTCCTGCGTGCCTATCCTTCCCGGTATCACGCTCCTCCCCCAAAGAGGGAAGAGAGTCTCAACAATTTGTCTTTTAAGAGTTTCCTCCATCAACCAGCACATACAGTTCTATGAGATCCTTTAGCTATTGACTTGGAGACCACCTGAGTTACTCAAGTTCACTTCTCATGTAAGGTAGCCACCAAAGCACCCTTTGTTACGCTACAGCCATCTTGGGCAAACCACCACTGACCATGGCTGTAGAAGTGCCCAAGGTCCGTCCACACCAGAACATGCACTGCTGACATCACTGATGTGCCACTAATTACGCTCACCTGGAAAAGACTTTGAGTTAGTTTAGGCTTAAAAACCAGCTTTAGTTTGTACCTGGCACCATCAGGGTTGCTGGGGATAGAAAGCCTTCCACCAATATAGAAGAAACATTTTGGAGTAGGACTTAACATCTTGCTCCTCAGTGCTGGAAGCCTACAGAGCAAAGCTGACTCATTCTCCCTATCTGGATGGGTTTGGCAGCAGGATGGAAAAATGTTGGACGGAAAAAGAGTTGTTCCTTGGAGCCCATGCTGGGGGAGGGGGCAGGCAAAGACGTTCCCAACCAGACCTCCCTGCAGCTCTGCGTCGTGCGGAGCCTCTGGCCAGAAGGGCAAAGCCAAAGGCACAGAAATGTGTAATGGACCCTTCGTGAGCTAGGACCACCCAGGCACATCGATCCGACGACTAAACTGGCTGCCCCCAGGTCTGTAAAAAGATGAAGGGCAATAGGTGGGGAGAAAAAAAAGGGGAGATCAAAAAATTTGGCCACGGCACTGGGCAGATTGAACAGTATTGAGCAGAGACTGAGGAGAGAAGGTGTGCTGCAACAAGTGTACCTCCCCAAATCTCCAGGCAGAACATGAGCTCTAAATAGGGACATGTGGCCATTTCTTTCACAGCTGAGTGAAGTACAAAAAGTAAATGGCCGGCATAAAAATAATGAGGAAAATGAATGAAAACATCAATTCCAAAAGAACTATTAGGATCCAGGGCCAGATTTCGAAATTCGCAGCTTCCACAATTGAAGCCAGATTTTCAAAAGCATTCAGTTCTTGACATGCTGAGCTCTCCTGAATAGGCAACCAACTTATTTCGACGCCTAAATGGGAGCTGACCTCTTTTGAAAATGCTGCCCTTAAGCAGCCTGCAGTAGTGCAAAGCAAGGACCTTTATTAATCGGGCAGCTTTCGATTTGCCTGGTGTCCCTGCAAGCCATCGCCAGAGTGGGCTGCAATGGGAGAGGCAGCAGAGGTGGGGAGTGGAGGAGGCCCCAGGCGCTCCGGTTGCCGTCCCAGAGGCAGTGGTCCCAGGCAGGGGGCTGCACCAGGAGACACAGGGCTGCTGCGTGACAGCATCCTCCTCTGCTGCCTCCTCTCCCAAAGGCAGGTATGCTAGGGGATACCCCTGGTTGCCAAGACTTCTGCAGCCACTGAAACCACCAGCCTCAACAGCTCCTGCTTAATTGCCATTTGGGAAAAGAAAGAGTTAAAGTCACTTAAAGAACTCCGAGGGGGGAGGGAAAACAAAAATTATTTGTTTATTTATTTTTAATTCTTTCCTGCCAGGTTAAAATAACAATTTCCTGTCGTGGAGCTGAGGCTCTAAGTCCCTTTCAGACAGCCCAGTAAATCAAAGGAGGGGCCATTAGGAGAACAAAATTAACGAGAGCTTCATCAGATACGGAGCGGTGGTGGGGGTGTAAAATCTGTCGGCTCGGCTTCCCGCCAAGCCCACCGAGGCCCCCGCGCACAGCCTCGGCTGTGCCGTGGCGATGGAGGGCACTGCAAAGGGAGAGGAGCAAGAAAGAAAAACCAGAGGTGAAGATATAAAAGAGACGAAAGGCGGGTGCATGTGTGGGGCGGGGGTGGTGGTGATAAAGCTGGAAAGGAAAAAGGAATCCGAATTAAGCGCAGGCAGCAAGAGAGGTGTTTGCTGATTAGAAACTGAAGGTTTTACTGAGGAAATGCTGCTCACAGCCCCAAGCCCCCTCCTGCTTAACAAGGGCTGGCCAAGCAGCCCTTGTTACTGCCACACTGTCTGTGATTTACAAGGCTCCCAAATAGGAACCAGCCTCTGTCCCGGCTCCGGGGCAGCATCGCCGCACCACACACCCCAGCTCTGCAGACAGGCAGGGGGGAAACGCAGAAGCAGACTGGGTCAGGTTGGATGCATCCACGCTGTTACCCACCGGCAAGACGCTACAGGACAGCAAGTGTGCCGGTGCACGTGACAGCAGTTTGGGGTTGTGGCAGGCAGCCGGGCCCCAAGCCCCTCTTTGTGCGGGGGAGGAACGGTGGGAAGGGGAAGGGGCTGCTCTGCACTAAGGCAAAGGCTGCAGCAACTCAGGTCCAGCTACCAGCTGGGGACACCCTGGGTGACTCTGGAGAATTCACTGCAGCTGGTCTCCGTTTCCGACGGGTCAAGTAGGGACAATGATACTCCCAGTTCTCTGTTTTATACATTGAGACTTAAGCTCTTCAGAAAAAGCAATGTCTTACACAGTACAGCATGCCAATTTTACTTGTAATCATTAGTTTTTAATACAAGATGGTATTTTTTTTGTTGTTCCACAGAGCTTAAAGCATTGAAAAAGCAAATGTAAAAGAGAAAAGAGCCATAGTACCCTTTAGCTTTACAAATGAGGGAACTTGAGAGCTAGAAGAGGAAGCCAACCTTGCCCAAGGTTATAAAATAAAGCAGTGGCAGAGCTGGAAACCAAAAGCTCTCTGACTGGGACCTCCATCCCATCAAGCAAGTTGTTCTTGGATCCCAAATCTTTGACATCCCATCTGAAAAATCCATCACACAACTGTATAATCCTCTAGCTGAAAAATACTGTCAAGGTGACACACCTGAGCAGGTCAGCTGCAATGGCCCTGCATGATTCCTGGGCATGGATGGTAATCTGGTCACCCTCCCGAAACAGACTGCTTCTCCAAACACATCAAACAGTAACACACACAGGGCAAAACTAACCTCTACCAACACCCACCCCTACTCCAAGTATTAATTTTACACCATTACGTTATATTCACTCTCTCTGAAAGGGTTTGGAAAAGGAGAGGTTTGCAGCAGGA